TCTTTCTCTAAAAGCAGGAGTTTGAACAGGGTAATTCCAGGACCCCAAATTTAGGAGCAAGCAGATCAAACATTCCTCAAATATCTATTTTATTTCTACTTTCTAAATTGACGGCTCACATTCCATCGTTGATCTYGGATATTAAGGTTTGCTTTTGGATCAAAAACCTTCAGCAGAAATTCTTGTAACTGCCTCAAAAGATTCTGGACAAATATTTCCCTTTAATTGTAATGAGAACTGGGCATCCATATGCCCTACAGAGCCATGGAAAATTTAACTTTTAAAGGATTATTCACACAGGAAAGCTGCACCAGCTTAGCCAAAGCATTTATACTTTTTCAGACCTTGATGTCCTAAAAACTAGTTTTATTTTGGTTTACTAAAGTTGATTAGGAACAGATTTTTTTWWAACTGAAATAAGCCCCTTTTAAAATGAAACTTGAACATCTAAAGGGGGTTTTGCGTCTTTTCCACACATGCAAGCTGCTTTATTGATTCTATTTTTTTACCTCAGCAGTATTTTCCTACATATGCTTCTTAAAATCTGCTTCCATAGAGACCAAAGCTGTCTTTGTACCTGTGCACAACCTGCACGCCAGCCAAAACTCAAATTCTCAAATTCAGTATCTTGAGACTCCTGTTACATCTCAGGGATGGCTCTGCTACCACAGGGAAATGACACATTATTTTCTCTTCAGGAACTGCTCACAAAAAATGTGACCAGACATCCTGTGAACTGGCATTTTTTATTGATTAGACAAAAGCTTTATCAAATTATTTGTCCTTGGTAATACCTGGATAGAAATTACAATGCTGCAAAGACTGGCACCTTGGAAAAAAACCTAGGGAATAGCTGAATAAATAATCTAACAGAAAGAAGAAATCCTGAGCCAGGAAKACTGTGGAAGCAAAGATTAATTTCCAGCAGAAATAAAGTCTGAAAGAGGAGATTTCACAAAGAATTTTTTGCCACGAGCTGCAAAAAAAATTACAATTGTTCAGTTAAATAACAGCACAAAAACCCAAGAGGATGAAATCAGAAAGCTGGATTTCTAATGAAGTCCCTCATTTGCTTTTTGCTTTCCCCATCCCTTTTACAATTTCACAACTACGAAATTCCTAAAATCCCACAGGAAAGGTGTGCACCCTGCTAGGACAGAGCAATGTCCCCACAGCAGGACAGCTCAGGGGGGAACAATCCAGACATGCACCTCCTTCCTCTAATGCACCTCTCACCTTTATTACCATCTAGATTGATCTGATTAATTTGATTTAATGGGACCTCATCCACTGGAACTTTTAGTGGTGGTAATGGGAGATGTTTAGATTATTTTTTTTGTTAAGTCTWTTTTATTGGGTGGGGAGGGATTTTTTGGTTGGTGCGTTTGGTTTTGGAGGGGGTTTTGTTTGCTTGTTTTAACACACACACGCACATATATATATGTGTGTGTGTATACATTCACAGGAGGGGGTGTGAACAATTATTTCCAAARCCAGGCACGCACAGCTCGATGCGGGTGCTGGGCTGATTCCGCTGTCCCTGGGAAGCCACGCTGGGAGCAGCGATGGGAACCGGGAGCGGGGACCGGGAGCGGCCGCCCCGCCGGGGCTCGGGGCTGCTCACAGCCCCCTGAACAACGCGGTTCCCTCTGAAACCACGAAAAACCTGCCCTGCAAAATTCCCCTCACGTTCAGAGCCTGAAGGGATCACGCGTGGCSGCGTTTCCTCTCCTTCCCCTCCGGTTCGGGCAGCCCGTGGGTACCCAGCGCTCCGGGAAGAGCCGGGGACGGGCAATCTCGGCACCGCATATATTCAGCCTTTTAAAACTATCAACAGATAATCCTCTGGAGGAGAAATCCGTAATTAGAGAGAACCTCAAAGGGGAGGGAGGAGAGGAAGGCTCTGAGTGATGGAGCCGGCGCCCATCCTGCGGGCGCTGCCACGGGTGCTCTGAGGAGGGATCCGAGTGCTTTTCTCCAAAGTTCAGGGAACTTTGCTAACATAAACTTTTTATCTTTTGATGATCCTTTTAATATAAAATAATCTCTTTTTTTCCCCTCCCACAATGAAGCAGTCGGACATTAAAAAGATAGCGAGTGCATTTTAAAGATGTTTCCACTTTATAAATCAAACTTTCTTGGCAACAACATGATTTCTATTTCAATGCTGAGCTTGCTGTGTTCTCCTAATATCTCCTACAGATCAGTCCTAAGAGGGAGTAATAATCCCCTAAAGTAATTCTCAGCCCTAAATTCTCGATAATTTATAGTTGACTCGGTCTGTGGAGCTCTACAAAGAATGAAACAAATGACTCCCCCTTTCCCCCCCAACTAAGTTATCAATATTTGCCTTGTTTATACAAAAAAGCTATTTTACACCATTGCCATGGAATTAGCGCTTCCGCTGAGCTTTACATTTCCTCTCCATTCAGTGAACTTGTCATTAAAGTCACTCCTTTTTTTTGTTGTTTGAAATTTAAAAATCAGGCTTCCATTTCTTTTCGTTTGTGCCCCTTGAGGTCAGACAGACCTACATTTAAGTGATTTCAACTAACGGCATTCAGGGCCATCTCTGTGCCTGCTGGGAGGGGGATTAGAGTCCTAATTAGTGCCTGCAATTAGCCGCTTTCCCTCTTTCCACACCCCCCCAATGCTAAATGCAAGTGCACACAAATCTCCATTAACCATCGGGTTTTTAATTGGGTCAAGAGGAGGTTTATTATTGCGACCCTCTATTTAAATAGCTTGGGTAAAATAAAATCTGCATGAAGTATTAATTTTCATTTTGTCCTTTGCATGGGGATTAGCAGCAGACTGCAGCTCGTGGGCTGCCCTGCCCTCACTCAGCACAAACACGAGTGGCTCAGCCTGGCATCGCTCTGAACCGAGACTCGAGTCACCAAGGAATTTTAAGTTGTTCGATTTTCCGGCTGTCCTAATGCTAATTATTTTGTGTATTTTTGCAGTCGATGTTGCTGCAGCGCCCAGCCCGGGCTGGGAGGGACAGAGCCGGGTCCAGGCACCGGCAGCGCGGGGGCTGCGGTCCCGCTGCGGGGGCTCCGGGGCTGGGCGGCTCGTGCCTCGTTGCTAAAAACCTGCTAAAAACACCGTAAAAAGCCCTCGCCCTGTATTTTGACATCATTTGCATTTGAACCCGAAAAAAAGAGATTCTTTTGTTTCGTGTTATTCATCAGCATTTCAGCCATTTCTTTCATTGTTTTTTAAATTCAAAACTGTTCATAAAAAAAAAATGAATTCTCTTAGCTCGACGGCTCTTCACTGATTTTCATAAACGGAGAATTTGGCTCGTGTAACTTTAAAAACCCAACGTTTTGTACATCTTGGGGTTTCTATCCCCCATCCCATCCTCCCGAAAGGTGACTATTTGTGCACTGCCAGCTCCACCGGACAAGGAATGTGGGACTGAGCCCTATCCATRTGGAGTTGTTTAAATAACCCACGTTAAGACTTAGAAAGAGATAACATGCACGTTTGGGAAGCTTAGGGTCTAGAATTTGGTAAAGATATTACACGTCCCTGCACAGACACACAGATACTATAAATTAAGGGTGAAATATTTGAGGTCTTGATCCCCTCATCTGAGCTGACTTAGGGAGCAGACCTAKCCAAATGAATCCGGCTCTTCCCATCAGCAGACGCTGCAGAACAAGCCCTGAGATTTTATACACCAAAATAGGGTGTGATAGGGACAGGGTTACCTGCACGATCACTTCATAAACAGCCACATAGCAAATAAATGGAAGATTCCCGGGATGCACACCCCCTCTCCAGCGGGACTAATGGGAATATTTCTCTTATTAGAGTACAGCTTCCCTACACCTACCAGCTGCTGCACGGATCAGCACTGCCGGGATGGAGGAAAGGAGAGGGAAAGCACTCATCGATCCCAAAAATCCAGTGCCGAGGGTTGGGTGCTGGGTCTCACAGTGTGAGCAGCTAACAGGGGAGAAAACTCACACACAGATACACACACACACACTCCACGAGCCCCTCCGCCCTCCACGAAGGATCAGAGAGCACAGAGAAATCAAAACTTCACAGAAATTATTTGCAGGATTTTTTTTCCTCTGCTTTCTCTCTCTGTGTCCATCTGCACAGTTCTCTAGCCTGGTGTAAAACACACAATCGGCAGGGCATGGCAGAAGTGCTCAGCGGTGCTGGAATTAAATTTGAATGCCTCAATTTTTCTTTCCAATGGCAGCAGCAATGTGAGCCCGCTGCCGCAGAAGCCAAGGGCAGATACTTTGGTGCCCACAGTGACACCCGGCTAATTTTCTTGGGAATTATCTGATTCCCAAGCCCGTGRTGGTCTGAGGTTTAATTCTGATGCTTAATTTTCTGACATTAATTCTACCATCTCCCACCAGAGCAGCCCGGGCGGGACAGGAGCCCTGAGCAGACACAGGGGTGGGTTCTTCGGGGAACTGAAGCCTCTGTGAGACGCTGGGCTCTCTCCCGGATCTGGGTATGCACACTGAGGMGGCTCTGATTTAGTAAAAATCATGATTTGTTTCCAAAGGAAGAGGGATTTTCCCCCTAAAAGTAGCAGCCGTTTATCTTTCAGTTCTGAGGTTAAAAGAACCTTCATACTGCTAAGTACCATGCAAAGTACCCCAGCACAGATCTTGGTGCACGGCACAGAAAAGGGAAAGGGATTTGTTTTGTGGGGGAAAAAAAATAAAGGCACAATTATTCTAATACCCTAATTTAAAAATATTTTTACAAAATAATTACCAGAGAGAATCGGGACTAAATGTTTCAAATGACTCTACAACATTATCTTGCATCCACAGTCCCACTGATGCACTCAAATACATTCACTGTTTACATTGAAAAAATTATCTTACTGAAATCTGCAATCACAATAAAGTTTTTTAAATGCCACTRATTGTGACAGCTCTGCAAAACCCAGTCTTGGCAAACAGGGACATTTCATAGAGATCAGAAGCAATACAAGTTTGCAGGGAATTTTCACTAACCTGCCTGCTTTGGTTATTATCATTTCTGTGCCAGCTTCATGAAATTTCTTCCATAGCTCCTTCTCATGGAGATAGACTTTGATATTTTCTATTGTCTGTAAAAAAATTAAGATAATGAGAACAGCAAGAAACGATGGAGAAAAGCTGAGAGAAGGGTTGGGAAGGGCCGTGGAAGGGCTGGGATGGGGACACCCAGAGCCCACGCTGCAGCCAAGGCTCCAGGCGAAGCCACCAGCCTGTGCAGGAGGAGGATGGAGTCTCAAAAATTCCACTGYCCTTTGCCAAAAGTAAGAGAAACAAACTGAGGCCGGTTTTAATTGYAGACTTTCACAACCAGGCAGGATACTGCGGCCAAATTAATTTTTTTTTTTTCCCTAGGGGAAAAAAACTCTGTTGGGGCAGACTCGCCCTAAGGCTCCCAAAAACAGGGCCAGGAGCAGCGGCGGGGAAAACGGATCCACGCCCAGGGCCGCRCTTTGTGCACGGGTTCGTTCCGCGGGATGCCGGGGACGTCGCAGAGGCGCGGCCGAGCGCGGGGCGAAAGCACAGAAGCCGCGTTTTATTTAGGGATGGAAGAAACCCCAGTGAATCCCCCTCCGGGCCGGATCCCCGGGAGGAGCGGTGGCGGCTCCACCACCCGTCGGGCCCTGCCGGCCGCGGCTTTCGGCGCTCGGATTCGCCCTTGAAAGACCTGTGCACCGACGGCAGGCGCGGGGCGGCCTGCTTTGGACAGGGAAAATAAAACATAATAATAACAATAATTTCAAAAAGAAAAGTGAAGAAAAATGCGCTTTCCTGGCAATCGTGTTAGTGGGGAAGATGCGCGATCGCGGGCCGAGCTGGTGGCGGGGATGAGGGCGCAGCCGGGGCAGGGCAGGACCCGGGGCCGGCCGGTGCGTACCTGCTCGGTGTCGGGGAGCTGCGGGCTGCTGAGCGGCGTGGTGCTCCCCCCGGCTACGCCGAGGACGGGGGAACCGGCGGAGGTGTCCGCATGGCCGGGCGCGGGGGCTGTTGGAAACCCTTCCTCGGTTTCAGACAGGCTTTTCTCCTGGAGCATTTCCTTGGGGGAGAGAGGCTCAACGTTAGTTCGCGGAACCGGGGGCCGCGTCCAACCCCGGCCCCTCGCCCAGCTCCGGGCACGGCCACCTGCGAGGTCAGACCGWCCCGGCCCGGCCCGTGGTCTTTCCTCGGCTGGCGGCAATCGGCGACACAGGGATATGGCACCGCCAGCCCCGGGGGAAGCCGCTGTGCCCGGCAGAGCCGGGCCGGGCCCGCCAGCCCCCGCGGGGGAGCCGCCCACGCGTGGCTGMGCTCCCGTTTGAGGCCAGGGCAGCTCATCTGTGATGTGGCCGCAGCACGCCAGCCCCGACTCTTTCTCCTCTCCCCTCCGGTACCCGTCGGGGAGGGCAGCCCGGCCMGGTCGGTCACTCTGCCCCGTCCCGTCGGGGCTGTGGGGGCTCCGCGACGAAGTGCTGCGGCGGAGCCGAACGGTGTAAACAGGCGGAGTGCTGGGCTCCGAGATAAAAGGGCCCCTCTTAAACTTGGACGGAGACTGGGAAAAGCCAATAAAGATAAGGCCTGACAGCTCCGCCGGGGCTGCCGCGCATCAACGCCGACTTTTACAGCGCGGAGAGACGCGGCCGCCCGCCCCGCTTGACGGACGGACGGACGGCAGCGGCGGTGAGGAGGAGAGCACCTCCGAGGAGGCTGCGGGGTGCCGGTCCCGGGGACCGAAACCGGCGCTGGCCGCGGACCTGCGGCCCCCGAGGGAGGCTCCTGCCCCGGCCCACAGCCCCGSTCCCTGCCCCGAGCCGCCAAGGCCGAGCCGCTGTTCGGGACAGCGATGGTGTAGTGAGAGAGCGGGGCTGGGACCCGAAACTCCAGCTCCAGCAGAACTCCAGGGAGAGCGGGACTAGGATCCCAAATTCAAGCTCCAACAGAACTCCGATGAGAGCAGGGCTGGGACTCCCAGCTCCAGTCCCAYCAGAATTGCAGGGAGAACTCCCGCCGAGCAGCCGGAGAGCCAGCCCGGCTGTTAGCGAGCGGACACGCATACCCCAGTGATCAGCCGCAGTCCCCGGGACAGGGAGCACTCAGCGGGAAGCACGGTACGGGGCCCGGTGTCCCCAGAGCTCCGCCGGTCCCTCCGCCCGGCTCGGAGTGTCGGGACGGGGCGGTCCCAGCTCGGCCGGGATGCGGATGATTCCCGGCGTCCAACCGCACCGCGGAGCCGGGTGACCGGGAGGGCACAGGTGGGAGGTGACCGGGTGGAGGAGGGTGACCCGAGGGCCAGGCTCCAGCCCCGGACTGGGACCCCGGTGCTCCCGGCACCGAGCAGGTTGGCTGGCGGGGAGCAGCGGGGCAGGCTGGCGGCGGTGTCCCGATACAGGCCGGGGCTCGGCGGGCTGCAGGGAGCCCCGCACCCTTGGACGCCCCGCTTCCTCCCGTCCTTCCCCCCGCACCCCGGGAACTCACACGGCCGGCCGAGGGGCAGGAGGCGCAGCGGGGGGCTCCGGGCTTGGCCTGGGGGCGGCTGCGGCATGAAGGGCATCCGCGGGGCGCTCAGGCCGGGAGCGGCTCCGCGGCCCCCGATGGCAGCGGCGTGCGGGGCATCCCCCGCTGCGCGGATTCACTTTCCCTTGATCTCGGCGGAAAATGTTCCATAAAGATCCAGTTTGGGGCCTTTCGACTCCCTCCCTCTTTGTCTCCCCCCCCTCCCTTTTCCCTTCCCCTCCTGTTGCTGACGTTGCCGCTGTCAATCACATCCCCTTACACCGACTCTGGCCCGCTCCGCC